TACGATTTATTTGGTTCCTATTTATATTTAATGTATGGAGAATTATTTTTTTTATTTGGAATTTTATTACTTAATAACTGATGAGTAAATCGTAAAAAACAATATATATATATATATATTTAAGTATAAAATTAAACGATCTACGAAAACGGTCTGATATGATTCTTTGTTAAATCAAAGTTGAAAAAAAAGTAAATTTCAGTTTTTTTCATTTACACAATTAAATAATAAATAAGAAATGAAAAACACAATTTATTAACTGCATGATAATTTTTCTTCATTAATCAAAACAACGATATTGTGAACGAAACATTTTTAAAAGCAATTTTCTAAAACTTTCGATTGATAACGAAAAAAATTTATACATACTTACAACTCGAACTTAAATTTTTAAGCGCGTTTAAATATCTTGTTTTGATTACTACTTAATTATTTTTTGTATTCGAGTAATTGAACGATATCCGGCTGTCGGTGTAATTAAAAAATACACGTGTTATCCAAGGTTACAAAACGTTACGCCATTGCATCGCTCAGTTATACGATATGTATATGTGAACGATCCATTCAAACTACGAGTATATATATTCCAGTTTTTTTTTTTCTGCAAACAGAAATAATTGAAAGTAAAAATAAGTATCTTTTAAAGTAATAAAATTTTGCTGTAGTGAAACTTCATTCATGTTATCATCAAATGGAAAGAAGTGCTCTTTTAATTGAAATAAATTCAATTAAATTATTGGTCAGGCAAAAAATGTTTTATTTTAAATTGTAGAAAAATTTTTAGAATTCAGAAAAAAAAAACATCAAACAATTAATTTATTTTACCCTACAAGGTCAGAAAAATGATTATTTATACTTCAATTAAATTTTTGAGGGTTTACGGTTACTAATAAAAAATTTTTCTCTGTATTTTGATTAAAATTGTTTCCGGTTGCTACAAATTACTGAAAAAAAAAAAAAAAATTAACTGTAGCGAAAATAAATAATCATAAATTCAAAAGATTTGATTAAGAAAAGTTTATTTCAAAAAAATCTGTGCTATAAGTTAGGTAGATTAATTTTTTTCACTGATATTATAGATGTCCAAATATGTTTGTACAATTTTTGACATAAATTTTCCTCATTTATATTTTTTAAAACTTCCTTTTACATGAAGTAAGCTCGAATGATTTTGAGTTTAAACTTGGACTTAATTGTAAAAATTAAAAAAAACATTGAAGGATTGCCTTTATATATTGAGTATATTTATGATACAATACGATGCATATCGTTAAGTGTGTATGTATTTATATACAGTGTGCGTAACATAAGAGAGAAAGTATGAATGAACGTGTGTACATGAGAAAAAGAGACAAGAAAGGAATCGTGAGTAAATGAGACAGACCGATTCATGAATGAACTTTGTATAACAAGGATAGAAGTCATGAGTGAAATAAATATAGAAACAAGTAAAGCTGAGAACCAGAATAAAATAGAATACTGATCGTTATTTAAGAACTTTGCGGCTAGTTTCTTTTCTAGAAGATCTCAAGAAGTTTTTTAGATTTTACAGACTACTAACAGTTTATGAATTAACATGCATATTAATTTGTGGAGTAAATATCTCTAGAACTTTCAAACTGTTAATTAATATTACTCACACAATTTCAAGCTTTAATAACAGAAAAAAAAAATTTGCTAAAATTTACTGAAGAATTAGATAACCATTTACGATCCCAGTTTTTCTTTTTACGAAAAAAATCTTAAAAAAAAAAAAAGAACAATTAAAAGCATTGAAATGAAAACTATAGATCTTTGATAAAAAAAAAAGTTCTTATTAAATGTCTTGTGCACGTAGAAATTCGTGAAAAGTATGAACATTCGGAGATACATATCGTTACTGCCATTTGATAGTAAATGTAATTAAAATGAAAATCACTAATTTCTATTAGTTATATTATAAATAAATTTATAGAAATAACTAATTAATTTTCGAGATTTAATTTATTGTAATGTTTTAACTATTTAAACTCCACACTTTGACTTCTTCGGAACTTGACAAAAAAAAAAAAGACTTTTTAAAGTGAACCTCATGTTGCCATACTACCGCAGAGTAATACAATGCAGCTGGAAGAAGTAGAAAAAGTAGAAGATGAAAAAGTAGGCAGTCGACCTTCCTGGGGGCCTTGCTACATGTAACAGACCTAAAAACATCAGATCGTTTCGTATTCCGTCTGTTTAACAGAGTAAAGACGGACTTCAGTATAGTTCGACTCCGACTTCTCATATACATTCATACTACACATCAATGTTTAAATGAATATCTTTATCATTTTATTCAATTATCAATTATGGCTAGTGAAAATGGAAAATTTTATTCAATTGATCTAAAAATCAATTTGGAGAAAAATTTCAATATTATGTTGATTATTTTATAATCATAAACATGAAGTACACTAAAGAAAGTATCCTGTAGGGTAAAAGGTTCATTAAAGAATTATAAAATTATACATTTTTCACCAATAAATAATATTGAAGAAAATTCTCTTCGTGAATAAATTAATGACAATAATTTTCAATGAAAGCAACTAACTAATACATTTATTGAAAAACTACTATTTCTTCCCTGCTTAAAGAAATTGAGGCTTATGAAGCACAATCTAATGTTCGTACTTCGATTTGAGTGAAAATCAATTCAAAATGTTCTCATTAACAAACATATTTATTTTCAATCAATACATTATTATAAACATGAATATTAACGTTAAATTTATTATAAATTGACACAAGTTAAAAAAAGGAATTAGCTGAAAAATTTTGCCATTTAAAACATTTATTGAATCATACTTTTATAATATATACATTATATGGATAAATAACTTCACAATTTTTTTTTGTCTAATCTCATTTTGTTGAAAATGAATAAATAACTTTTGTTTGATAGATTTTATAAAAATTTATTATATTTATTCTTATAAAAATAATTTAAAACATAAATAATAATTTAGAGCGTTGAATATACTTCCATTGTATAACCTCTGTGTAAAAAGCACATAAAATACTGTATTTTAATAAAAAATGGGTATAGAAACAATTAAATTTAGCAAAAGTTATAATAACTTTAAAAAATTAATCTGAAAGTGTGTGTATAATATTTTTTATAACAGAAAAATTGAAAGCGCGTGATGTTTTCCATTCAATCGAAACTTCAATGATAGCGTTGATCCATTCATAAAAAGCCTGAGGCATAAAGTCAACCTTCTCTTCTAACACCACAAAATGTCGTCTCTATCATTCATTCCCACCGTTTAATCATTCCCTCTTCTAATTTTCTCTCACAGTATTCTTCTTTTCTTTCACAATCATATGTTATCTTCGCTTACTACAGGTTTTGCGTAGGCATGTCATCCCTACTAAAAAACTATCCCCTCCAAGCTGCTTTACGCCGAACAATCATCGGGTTTAATCGTACAAGCACGATCCAGTCTTCAGTCGGCTATTGATGCGCGCGCATTGTACAACTTTATGCGCGAAATTCAAATTTAAAAAATTTTTAAATCACATCAAATTTAATTTTATCAAAGCAGTTATAACTAGTAAAAAAAATTTTTGGTATAATTAAGAGAAAAATTGTTTTTATCGTGGCTTAAAAATTTTTTTCTTATAAGCTTTTAATGCAGTTAATATTAAATAGTGAGTTACTTGGTGTTAATTGTGGAAATTTTTATTATTTTATAAAAAATAATAATATTAATCATTTCAATGCTCATTATGTGGATGAATTTGTAAAATTAGTCGCTGAAAAAAATTGTTTTTGGAGTGCTTTGATGGATTGCCGGTTTTCGAACCGGTGACGGTGTTTCGCAGTACTGGAGACAGATAGGATTATTTTAGGGGAAAGACGACATTTTGCGGGTATACACTTGATTATTTTAATTTATTTTTTGTAACTTTCAATTGTTATAAAATAATTTTTTATAAAAAGTGAGTTCGTTTTACAGAAAAAAAAAAAAAAAAAAATTGTAATAGCACAAAATAAAATCGAAAATATAATAATAATACATATTTAAATATTGACGTTTGTAAATATCGCTTTTTAATAATTATCTTTCTCATATATATTTTATCATTATTGTATATAATAGCGACTCGAATGTCTGTGACCTGAAGCAATCGCTATGTCGATGATGATAGCTGTGCACATTCCATTCGTCAGAGACTGAATGGTTTGATTGTTTCAATTACAAACAACGGATGTAGTTAAGCATATGCACAAAAAAGTATATTTTTGATTGATAAAATTATTTTAGTTTTAAACAATATAAAATTTAAGATTATTATAGTTAGTTAAAGTGTAATAAAATATTCGATTACTTAAAAAATTATTTAGGAAATTATAAGCAGCATGGTATAAAAATATACGAGGATACTTTAAAAGTAGTCAAGGGATTCATTATAGCAAGTAAAATGTCTACAATCTTAAAGGAAAGCGTAGGTGCTTAAAGTAGGCGCTCGAGGCATCGCAACGCCCACTATCGGCGCCCACTACATGATATCGTATGTGATGTGTAATGATCTGTTGGCTGAATTTTAAGCTGCACGATTGTAAAAATATTAAAACATTTTTAGATATCGATAGTCGAAAAGAGACAAATTAATTTAAGAACAGAGAATTTTCGGTTATTTTTACATAACAATCCAAATAATTCTTAAATTATGTCAATGATATTTTTAGCTTCAACAACTATTTACGGAAATACAAAAAATGTATGATGGATTTCAAATCAATATGTTTTTAACCGCGTCGATATTGAAGGTTGAGTTAAACGAAAGGTCAAACATCTATATTTTATTTATAAAAATTATTGAAACAGCTAGCAATTTCGCAAATAAATACAGTGGATGAATCCGTCAGAAAAAAAATTAGTAGGAGGGAAAATAAATAAAAAAGAAAACAGCGGAAGAGATTAAGAAGGAAGAAGACCCTTGAGAGTCTGGCTCATTTACCTGGTTGGTATACAATGAAAGGGCCAGGATCCCTGGAAACGGCATTGGTACGTGAGCACAACCATCTGTCCCTCTTGTGTAAAATATTATTTTCATCTTGTTCGCATCTGTAGTTACAACTATATCGTCTCTTTCTACCAGCCACACATCTGCCAGAATTCTTAAGAAGTTCTCATTCAAGCCATGGACGCTGACTTTACCTAAAATTTTTTTCTGCTGCCATGAGTTCTCTCTTCAGTGAAGAAAGCAAGCTCGATTGAAAAAGATCTCTTTTTCGTAGCGCATTCCTTTTCTTTACATGTATAGACTGTTTTCTTCTTTTTTTATAACCTTACACTTTTAAAAGTTATTGGTCACATTGATTTTGTTCGCTTCCGTCTTCTGGTTTTTATTAATTTCTTTTTGTCATTCAAACATTTTATCTACCATTCCTTGGATTAATTTTTTTTCATACATGGGCAGTAGAAATATTTGCTTCTGGTCAATATTGTTGATTTATATGATTAGGATAAAAAAATAAAAAAATAGTGATGTCGTTCAAACAACTTATATTTTCGAAAATTCAAAACTATAATCTAAAGTATATATTGTATTTAAAATAAAATAGTCCACGCGAGTTTCTCTTTGAAATGTACAATAATAGATTTGTACAGCGTTGAGCCAAGAATAACTGTGGGCGTCACAATAATAGAATATACACTGGGGATGCTGTAAGTGTAATCTTATAAAAAAATCTTTAAATATTTGATATTAATCCGAATAATTAATTGGTAGGAGAGAAGCATTGATTCCTGTTTTACTTAGTATGATGATGTTGCAAGCGAGCCTTGAATCTTCCTAATCAGAGAATGTGAATTATTTTTCGTATGAATTTAAAAATACCAAATTTTTCATTAATATCTTACAACTTTTGAAAATTCCAAGATTTCATTAAAAATTGATTGAATTTAAACATTTTTTATCAATTTTAGGACTACTGTCTTATGTAAATCCTAGAAGATGACATCGATTATCTTAAGCAACCAAAGAAAAACCAAAAACCTTCTACCCACGTGATATAAGCCCACTATTCAATGATATATTGTTCTCATAAGACAATTATCATAATTACCTTGAAAATGAATTTTTTTTTAACAATTAGAATAGATGAATTATGTTATAATAAAACGAAAAAATGAAGTCATAAACTAAAAAAAGATAAATTTGTATTACAGGTGGGGATGAAGCGCGTGTTACGAGGGCGGGACACGAATGTGAGGACACAATCTCAAATGGAACTACGTCGACACCTACATTATCAGCACTTCCACCACGTCCAGGCTGGGCAGTGCGTACATCAACAGGCCTCATATCGTCACCAGCAACTCCACCACCAACACTGTCATCTTCATCAGTTTCATCACTGTTCACATCTTCATCATCATCATCAACGGCATCACTGCATGGTGTCCAAAGATCAGAATGGGCTGATTGCTCGAGCGTGTTGCCATCATCATCGTCACCGTCATCCATTCGTTCGACAACTTCTGGTGTCAGACAACAAATATCAGCGTCAACGTCTGGTAAAATCAACGAACAACCACCCCTGGTATCAAGTGTCAGCGGAGCAAATTTGTCAACACTTACAGTACCAGTCCACACAATCCATCACACAGCTCAATCCACTGGGTGCTTACCTGAACGTTTAGAAGTTAAAGAAGTTCAAATGTCAGGTCAAAATGGGCTGTTGGCACGGCCATCATCATCATCCGGTTCAAGTAGTGGTAGTCCTAATATTAATCCATCTTCATTTAATAATTTACCGACACGTGTACATGGGCATGATCACACGCGTCCATTACCACCACCACGATTGCCGGAAACAATATCGACAATAGCACCATTAACTGCACCTTTAACTCCTTTATCTACATCAAGTAGTTTTCGTACGAATTCGCGGTTGCAATCAATAAATACTGCTGGAACGACAACTAATTCAAGTGATAGCAATACGCAACATCTTCGCAATGATCGTACTCTTGGAGAAGTTACGTTGACAGTACCGAGACCTGATGTTGAACGGATTGTCAATGAGTATGTTGAAACACCATTTCGACAGCCGACCAGTCAAAAATGCCTAAAAAATGAGAGGAGACAACAGCATAATCAATTCCACCATCATCGGCATCATCATCATCATCATCATCAGTCGACACCTCAAAATCAACAAATACAACTTCACCAACAACAGCAGCTGCAACAACAACGGCAACAAAAACAACAACGATCACAACTCCAACAATTGAGTAATGATCAACAAGTGCAACAACAACACCAGCAGCAGCAGCAAAAACAACAGCAACAGCAACAACAAGTCGAACAAGAGTCAACAGAAACACGATCTGCAAGACGTCTTCAAAATCACTTACTTCAGTCGTCGCCGGGTCAACCGATAACCAAACAACCAGTATCATTTACGAAAGAACCAGCCACTACAGGATCGGGATCGTTAGGACGACCCAACGATAGTAGCTTATCTATTATGTGTGATTATTGTGGCAGGTGTAAATGTGAATCATGTCGCGAACCACCACCATTACCCAGTCGGTGGCTATGTAATAATTCATGTTTTTGTTCAGCAGAAACAGCTTTAGACTATGCATCATGTTTATGTTGTGTTAAAGGACTATTCTATCATTGTGGTGATGCTAATGGTAGTGGTGATTCAGAAGTTGGTGGTAGTTGTGCTGACGAGCCGTGTTCGTGCTCTGGATCACGTAAAACAGCACGATGGACATGTCTAGCTGCATTAACTATGGTCTTACCATGTCTATTGTGTTATTGGCCATTGAAAGGATGCGTAACAATATGTGAAGCTTGTTATGCACGGCATGCTGCACAAGGATGTAAGTGTGATCCTATGGCAGTTGGTCGTTCATTCGGTGGCCCGCCGGGTACGTTAATAGTATCAAGAGATTCACGCGATCCTGAGAAACGACTACTCGATCCAGTTACACCAGATTTATAGTAATAGCTGTAGTAGTAATAATAATTATTTAAAGATAGAGTAATATTAAATGCAAATAAAAAATAATTAAAATATTAATAATAATTATTGAATTTTAAGATAATACTAACACAATTGTTACAATAAAAATAAAAATAGTTATTTTAATTTTAATTATACTAATATTGATAATAATAATAATAATAATAATAATAATAATGATAATAATAATAATAACAATAATGATAATAATGAAAATAATAATTTTTATCATTATTTTTATAATAATAATAACCACTACTACTACCAATATTATTATCATTATTATTATTATTAGGTAGTTATTATTATAATTATTAATGTTAATATTAATACATACAAAAAATTATTTAAGTGCATTAATGTATGCAATAAATGAACTAATATGCAGAGTTGGATTTATTAATTGAATAAAAAGAAATAAAAGTTGTACCAAAGTGACTGACAATTATTTCCAACTAAATGGACATATTCAGACATAATTATATTCTAAAAAAAAAAATGCTTGAAAAGGCCAATATTATGTTGATGTTTAATTGATTTTAATACTAAATAGATATATAGTTTGCATTGAGGTCATTATTTAAAAATTACTTTTTTTGATCTAGAAGTATCATTATTTAAATGATAACTTTATCGTAAATATAAATTAAAAATTACAGTCCGTCATTAATGACTCATACGAAGTTAGCTGATGTAGAAATATTTATTTGAATTCGTGGTAATAATATTAATTATTATATAACAATAGTTAAATTGGTTATAATAATAATTATAATATTAATATTAATGATAATAGTAGCTATAAAAATAATAATGATAATGGTAGTTGTACTGATAATAGAATAAAAAAATGCAAATAATAATGTTAACAATAGTAATACAAATAATAATAATAATAATATTGCAACAATGATGCAACGATAATTAATTGTAATGGATTTATTAATAAGTAAATGATTAATACAATAATGAATCGAATATTTTGATTTTATTGTATATTCCATTTATATAACGAAACAAACAAACTTTTTACATGGTTTATTAATGAACAAAGTATCTGTTATAGTTTCAACAATGAAATCAACTATAATAATAATAACAATAATAATAATGATTATTATAATAATAATAATATTATTAATAATAATAATTATAATAATTATAATAATATTAATAATAGGAATTATTAAAAAATAAATAAAATTGGTCGCGTTATACGCTGAGGGTCAGAATTTTGGAAACTTGGTTTTCTTTTAATCATATTTCGTGATAATAAATAAATCATAAACAAAATTATGTAATTAAATTTATAAATTGATGTGTCAATTAAAAAAGCGCCGGGTGTTTTTGACTTTTTATTTAATTTTTTTTCCAGTATTATCTAGTCTTGAGAACGTTTTGTCAATTACGGAAAACAATTTTATCTATCAATCTATGTATATATATATATATACATATATATGTATATGTATATATATATATATATATATGTATAAATAATATTTATTTTTATTTGTTTCAATTAATATATAAATCAATAATAAAAAATAATAACAAAAAAAATTTTTAAACTTTTTTAATTTAATTTTCATTATGTTTTTAATTAGTCTACGTGGTATCGCTACTTTTTTTCTGTAACAAATTATTTTTCTTATGTATTTATATTTATATATATATACATAATTAAAAGTGAACGAATGATTGTGCAAGTGATAAAGAGTAAAAAAAAAGAATGAGAAAAATTAGATTGAGTGGTTGATTGACTATGTAATATTATATAAATTTCAATAAAGTTTTGAAAATCAGTAAGTACATACTACAGGGAAATCTCGACAACTTTGATTTTTAAGTGTCCCAAATTTTTGGAATTAAAGTTGAAGAATACACGGCGGTACTCGAGGCCCTCCACTTCTTCTTAGTGAAAAATGGTGGGTAGCCAAAGTCATAGGACAAAAAAGTTGAAGAGACTTTACTGTATCTTATTTAAATTAAAGCTATACTTAGGCTTAATTTTCATATAAAAATGTAAAGCTAATTTTTATTTTATATTCATCTTTAGACTTGAATTAGATCCAACTAAATTAACTCCACCGGTACAAGTCAGTATACACAGTAGAGAGAGTGAGAGAGTGATTGATTGATTGAGAGCGTGAGAGAGAGAGAGAGAGAGAGTAAACGATAAAAAGAGCGAAAGAAAGTACTAATTCTTATCATATATTTTTTCTTCGAGACATATTTATAACCGATTCATTTAATAAATTATTCGCAATTATGTGGAGGAGAAGAGAAATTTAGAATTTCAGCAAATATCCATAAAAATGCTTAATGTATAATTAATTTGAAGAAAAAAATTGAGCGACAGTTATGTAGTTAAACAAACAATTTGAAGCAAATTTAAAAGTAAGTGTGAAGACTTACTATTGAAATTGTATTAAAATGGAATTATTTAATAGTTCTTAAAGATTCATATGTATAGGTACAAATTGTATTTGTTGTTAAATATATGTTTTATAATTATCGATTGATTTCATTCAGATCGAATTTCAATCGGTATATGACAGAGTTATTCCTATATATCATTCATGAAATAACAGAAAAAGCTATCTCTTCACGTAATAACGTATACGTCTACACGCTCTGTATATGTCTTGTAAATATATATTTGAAAAAAAAAAAAAAAAAAAGATAAACAAGCAATTTTATTTTTTTTTAATCCTTCATTCTTATTCGTTGAATTTTTGTTGGATCTGGATTAAATGATCATTAGCTGAATTAAAAGAAAAAACTGCGACTTTGATTTAAAATTTATAATGACGCTTGGCTTTGAATCATTCGACTACTTTTTAAGAAATCTTCAAGAAGACGAAGCACTGGTAGTTGTTGAAATTTTTTTGTTTCATTAAAATTAAGGTAATTATTTAAATAAGATAAAATTATAATGTTGTAACTAACATTTTGATGTGAAAAATGCATGCTTTAAAAAAAAAAAAATTGACGATATTTGTATGATCAATTTTTTTATCAAATATTGTTTGGTATTTTCAGAATATAGATCAAGCAAAGTAAAGCGTTTGCTTTGGTTGACAAGATTCCAACCTTTTTAGCCATTGATAATAAAAAATGTTGAACAACAGTTGATCCCACAGGCCACCCGGAGAATTTTTTGCCATATCTGAACTCAAATCACTTAAAAAATTTCCTATTGAAAAGTTTTAAGCTCCTCGAGTTTAAAAATACAGCTATTATACTTTTTCGAGCTCAAAAGTCTAGTCTTTATATTGATAGAGCACTTTTTTGGAAATATTTCGAGCGAATCAACTGATTTCTATATGGTTGCGGCATTTAATGCACTTTTTTTGAGCGGAAAAACACATCCTTTTTGATTTCCAAACAACAATTTGACGCAAAATTTCAAAGTTAAGTAGAAAAAATTATTTTTTTGATTTTTTTCAGCAATATCTCTTGAACAAAACAACCAATTTTGAACTAGTTACAGTACTGATTAAATATTATTTAAGTCTTTTGCCTTTTAAACTGTTAAAATAAGCTATATTTCAAAAATAATATGCACTGTAAAAAATTTTGGTGTAAAAATGGACCCGGAGCATTTTACATGGCCATGTAGTGTGAAATAACGGTGTAAAATTTTCCATCCGTCTAATTTTAACACAGTGGAATCTACTTTTCTTACACCATTGCGTGTTATTCGATATATTTTTGTTTAATGAGCTACAATTGATCATTGAATATTTATAATTACTTAATTTTTATCCTGAATTAATAACTTAATTAATATTATTTGTATATTAAATAATTTGTTGAACATTTTAATATTTTTGTAAATATTTATCTCGATTATGTATATATGTAACAGTAAGTAATTTAACAATATTTACGCTGAGAAGTTTACTGTAACGATTACCATTATTGATTATTAATGATTAAAATTTCCAATGATAATTTAAACATAATGCACTTTCATGTTATTGATTAAAATCTTGCAATAATAAGTATAACACGATATTTGATGTAATTTTCACACGAAAATTTTTTACATTTACTCATTTACATTCACCGGATCCAAAAATTTTTTTACAGCATATCAATAAGTTTTCAATGCTTTAAAAATTATTATGATCAAATATGACAAAAATAGTAATATTTATTTTTTTTAAGAGAAATTATTTATTTGTTTAATCGGAATTTATACATCAATAAAAAAAGGCTATTCGGCAGCCGAAATGAACGTAGATTTTCTATCTTAATTTCAGATCTTTTATAAAATTAGTAAATCTTGAGCAGAATTTTTTTCAACAAAAATATAAATAAATTACAAAATTAAGATGCACAAAATTTTAAGAAAAGTACATTAAAAATTTCAATTTCATCTTTTAAAAAATTAATGGCAAGAAGTTGAATTAATTTAAGAACAATAGAATGGAAAAAATTAAAGCTTCCATAATCGTTGAAGCGAATGTAATAGTAAAATTTCATCAAATAAACATACATTTGCATGTATTTTCAGTCTGGGAGAATTAAGTAATACGGAATCTGAAGCTTATTTTATGGGCTTTCAGGTGCAATTCACAGAAATTTAATCAATTATCACCATCAAAAGTTATTTCAAGAAGAACCTATAGAAATATTACTTTTTGCATTTTTCGGAAATTTTGAATAGCTCTCATTTTTAAACTAATCGGCAGAATGAGTTTGTGTCTGAACTTGACCTTCAAGATCGTCGCAAGAATAACTATGTTGAGTTTCATTAGAATCCGTTGATAATTGTAGACACTATAGTGTTGAGACAGGAATGAGAACAAATGCAATAGTTAGATTTCGATGAAATTTACTTGAAAAATAATTTTATTCAAGAGAAAATTCTTTAATGAAGAATGTCATTTCGAAAAATTCGATCATATTGAATCAAATAGAAAAATTCTAGATTTAAGAATTTCTTTTTTCAATAAAGTTAATTTTTTTATCAGTGTATTAAGTTTAGATGCTGGCATAGTAAAAATTATTATGTTGCATAAGAATATTTCTTATTGACACAGTAGAGTTTACTATGCAAATATTTTCCTATGCAAAAATGGTAAAAAATTATATTTTTTTCTCCATATAAAATATTCCTTTAAAACATTATAAACTAACATTTTGTTATGAGACACATAAAAAAAAGTCACATGTGCAATATTTAGTCGCCTATATTGCTTTATGACTAAATAAAGATATTAATTAAATTTACATTATTTACATTACCTAGTATGTTTCTCTCTATGTATATCTATAAACACTCGAGGAAGAATGAAAGGTTTAAGTTGTTTGAATCCAACTTCAACTAACGGCTGAATGAAATGATTGAGGTCATTGAACTGACGTATCCCCTACCTTTTCCTAGCAATCTATCCCCTCTTCAGCGTAATTTTAACTCAATTCATTCACACTCTGTGCATACATGTGAATAATATTAATAATAAATTAAAATTAATATAAATTGATATTTATAAGATAAAATGTAAAAAAAAAAACGAATTTTCAAGAGAATAAATTGAGTAAGAATTAAGTATTAATAAATAGGACAAAAATTAATTACTGATAATTGTTGTTAAGAGGGTCAATGCTCAATGATAAACGAATGTGATAGGATTCGTTCATAAGCCTATAGCTACGTCAATGGAAAGAGAGGGAAGCATTCATTAATCCAGGGTTCGTAAGAATTGATAGGCATAAAGGAAATTACGAGAGATTTGTGACAGTGACCGGTAATACAGATGTGGCATATGAAGTGTGAGGTGGAAGGAGAAAGAAGAGGTAAAAGATAAACGACAGACCATAAGAATATTCATAGTGGGATAATATATTAATGTAGGGGAATTTCGTTATTGCAACAGAGGGGAATAAGTTGAGTGGGACCACCGGAAACGCCAGTTAGCTGAGCGGGCTGTATCCGCTTGAATCTATACCTCACAACTGTGATGTAAGTTAAGGGGGATCTTTAATACTCTTGATCATACCCACTAAATAATCACATTATATGTTGCGATTATGTTATTTATAAAAAGATAAAATTATTTTCTCAACTGGTTTTATTAACTTCGAGAAAAAAAATCTGTTTAAATGATTACTTTGATAAACAAAAATTTTAAATATTTTTTGAACTCAGGTTGTTTCTAGCTATAATTATAAAAAATATACCTTAAATAAAAATAACGTAATTTGAACATTCTATTTGTCAGGTTCAAAGTTTATTGTTTTAGAAAAAGTTTGATATTCTGGCGTAGCTGGATTTTTATACTTGCAATTTCGAAATATATCCGAGATCTTGAACAAGAGTTCTATACACGGAGAGAAATTTATAGGAATTTTTCCAACAATTATGGGAATGGATCCTATAATAAAATTATCATTATAGGCATTAATCCTATACTCATTATGGGAACCATACCCATAATTTATTGGAAACGTTCCTATACAATAATGGAATAGCTTTAATATATTATGGGAATGGTTCCTATAATATTATGGGAATGGTTCCTATAATATTATAGGAATGGTTCCTATAATATTATAGGAATGGTTCCTATAATATTATAGGAATGGTTCCTATAATATTATAGGAATGGTTCCCATGATATTATGGGAATGACGCACATAATAATAGAAAAAAGTTTATTTTCTTAATAATGAAGCAATCACTTCAAAAATTTAAAGTAATTATTATGTATTTAATAATTTATCAAAAAGCTTATGTCACGTAAATAATATTTTAATTAGTACGATTAAGTTACATAAGTACGATTTACACTATCTTCGAAATTTTTCGTAACTTTTTATTTTTCATTTTTTTTTCGTTATAGTTTTTATTAATATTGCTTGCTAAAAAGTGGCCTCTAATCGTAATAAAATAACTTAAAATTTTTTTCATCAAAATTGATTGATGTTCGTCGCATCCTAAGAAAGGTAATGATTTCTCTGTTGAAATTTTATCAACAATTTGATTCATCGTATCGATTTTTACAGTTTTAGTCCCGACAACACTTAAAACAGTATTTTCTAATTTCTGGATGAGAAGAAATAAATTATCACTTGGACGTTTGCAGTGTTCACTCATTAAGTCGATAACTCTATCTCTATCAGATGATGTCTCGGACTCAAGACTTTTGAGATAGTTTTCACACCGAGAAAATCGGTGCATTTTTCGGGTAACGTAACCAGCTATATAGGCAATGACGTATTCACTGGTTTGAGCGACATCATAATCATGATCCTCATGGGGATCATTAGAACACGGTTTAATCGTGTTAGCTGAGTTAGAAACAAGGTTATTATTATCGTCTTCACTTGATTCATCAATTAAGCTCTCGAAAGGTTTATTTGCTACACTTGTTTTAGAACTATAATCATTACAACGCGAATTTGATACAGCATCATAATTTAAGTCTTCATCAACATCATCTTCACTTAAGTCATTAAGTAAATTCTCGAAAGGTTCAGCTGCAACACTATTTTTGTTAACATTTCTCTCATCTTCTGTAAATCCACTATCGATTATAGAATCAATTTTTTCAAGCCATTTCACTTTTTTATCTTTGCTTAGCCTCAGTGACTCCCGCGTTTCCATCAATGACTGTAACAATTCAACTAAAGTTACGTTAGATCCTTTCGGTGGTGTTACTAATGAGTAAGAACATAGTAATCGAAACACCTGTCCAAATATAATAGGATCTGGGTGTTCATTACATCCACAGGCGCTTCTGACAATTCCAAAAAATTGCTACAAATAATAATAAATATTACATATTTTTATAAAGTTAATATTACAATAATTTTTTAAATCTTAAACATAGAAAAATTATGTGAATTTAAAATTTTTAAGGAAGACATAAATTGATTTGGAGCAAGAAGGAATTTTCATAAAATAAAAAAATTTATTTGAGAGTCTAAGATTTTTTCATTCTGTACCTATTTCTTATCAATAGTACTTACTTCAAGTTTGTCTTGATTGAGTCGAGCAGTCATTAAATAATCAAAATTACATTGCACGTGTAAAAAGTCCAGTAGTTCAATCGTTCCAGCTAAAGTGATCTTTAACCCAGTTAAAGTACTTTTAGTAATAGCAAGATAATTTATTCCAGGTTCATCATTGTGGTCTATCTTTTGTCTCTTACTTTCTCTTATCAGTTGCTTACGTCGATTGTTTTCTTCAATAGCTTTAGCTTCCCACTCTCTTAAATAATCGAGGAATCCAACAATAACCTGCTGGGTCAAAATATTACATTTTTAATAAATTAGGTAGATGAGTAAAATTATCATGCAATGTTATAGCGCAAAAATTTAATTTTTGCAAATACAGATGTTGTGATAAAAAAATATTTGAAGAAATGCATGAAAACACAAAATACTGGAACACCGTAAAACAATGAAGATTAAGAAAATTTATAAAAATGCGAAATCATTAAAAATAATTACATGTAAGCGTCTAATGTTGTGAAAGTTGCATATTTTTTTTAGCATGCTAGCATATTCAATCAACTAAAAGAAATCTTTAATAATAATGACAAGATTTAAAAAATTACACATGATGTTTTACTTATTGTTATAGGGTTAAGGATATGAAGAGCTTGATAAATGAGTGTATCTAGAATTTATCTCTTTTCTCTTGGTACTTCTTTGTACTTACACTTTAGGATAGATATAGTGATGAAGAAATAATGATTTGGAGTCATTCCAAATTTGTTTTGTTCGTTGGTAGATCGGCCACATAGATTTTATTATCGTTTGTAATTGCACTAAAATACAAAATTAACATGAATTTATTGTAATAAATACGGTACCTTTCTCTTCGGGCATTCTTCCTTGGGTTGTACACCGGTTTCCGGGGTACGAGAAGACATAGCTTTAATCAGATTATCCACTCTTTCCATGAACCTAACAGTTGGTCCACAATCTCTCAACTCAATGCATTCATTTTGCCAAGCCACCATAGCTACTCTTAGTTGCTTAGAAAATAGCTAAAAAAAGCATGGAGATTCATTATTAAATATAGATATATTTCTATTTGTTATTTTAGTTTCAACTATCAAGGAAATATAATTAATCAATCAGGAAAATTTTTTATACCTCTTCTGCTAAACGAACATTCATTTTTTGATACCCTTCGGGGTTTAGATGCTGAGGTGTCAATTTGTACGATACCTTCAAATTAGGTCTATAGTGAAGCTCATGTTGCAATAAAACTTCCCAGTGTTTCTTTTGTACCATACCATCTGGAGTCTAAAAGAAGTACCAAAGTATCATGATATTACATGAGATACATATGATTATTCAAAAAGAATGTTAGAATATTCTTTCTTACCCAAAATGATGACCCTTCAAGAATTTTTGTGCGAAAGCATTTCAACAGATGAGGAAAGTCGGACATAAACCACAGTTGTCTAGTTGTATCATAAGGATGAGTACAACTACATTTTTGGTCGGAGATACCAAAAATTTGCCAGGCTCCACGATTCCATTGAGCACCATCAGAGGTAACAACATCTACTTTCATACCAGCATTTTCTAACTGAATGATACATTCTATAATTAACTTATGCAGAATATCTTTCGTCACTGCAGTTTTACTCAAGAAATACCCTAAAACTTGAACCCAAGAACCACGGAAGGGTTGATACATGAAAACAAGTGCATGGTCAGCTCTCTCATTAACCAATTTTTGTGGTGTGTAATCACCTAAATTTACAAAGCCATTGAACTCCATAGTTTTAGTGTTCAACTTGACAGCTTCACTTAAGGCTATTTCATCAATTAATAAAGTACCTGCAAACAGAATAAAATTGATAATATATACAATTCAAGAATTTTATTTAGAAAACTGCAATTATTATTTAGCAAAAGCGATAGTTATGTAGCGAAGCACAGTGTGTTTACTGTTGACACTGCAAACAAAATAGCCACAAAAAAGCATTATATATCTACAATTAGCTAGCTACTTGAAATTCAATTATCACAGATTGCATTTTTATCGTTACTTAATGAAACTCTTAATACATAGCAGTCTAGATATTATTATATGTGGGGCTGTTTAATTGAGTTATTAATTATCAGAATAATAATAAAATTTAAAACTATTTTCGTTAGACAGAAACTTAAAAATTTTATCAAATTGGCATCCACCTTTTATCTATGTAATTATTCTCACTAATATTAATTGTAACTTTGAATGTGCAATCATAATAACATTCCGCTGTCTTTCTTACAAAAATGAAAAATAATTGATTTAAAAAAAAAAAATTTTCAATGAGCATTGAAAGTTTCAGTTAAAAAAATAGCAGATCTCATAAGTGAAGAAATCTGCCTAGCATGCAAACATTACTAATAGAATTAAAAAATTTATTTTAAACAAACGACAATTGAATAGAATAAATTTAGTTACAATAAAAATTTATTATTTTTAAGTCAAAAAAATATAGGTTCCGGATAAGTAATCACCACCGTATTATATACTGAAACCTTCTCCGAAACACGGTGCATCTTATGGTATAAGTATTATTTCGATCGGTTCAGTAGTTTTCGCAGTATAACCGAACAAAAAAACCGACTCTCCATTTATTAGTATAGATAGATTAGTAACCAATTTGAAAAGATATTAGTAACATACAAAGCCGGCTGTGTTACAGGTCTACTCATAAAATCTCTACTCACAGCTACCAATGACATCTGCAATCAGTTACATTCTTATTCGAAATCATATTCATTCAGTCACAACTTTATTCAATTAAATCTTTACTCTGATTCAACTTTACCCAATATTACTTGCTTTCAGGTAGAACTTTAATCAGTTACAACCTTACTCAAATTCGACAGTATAGTCAATTACAACTTTGCTCAGTTTCAATTGTATTCATTTTTAAATCTATTTACTGAATTTTTAACTCAGTTACATCTCTATTCACAAAGAATTTATTCGATTATATTTGTAATCATTTACAACTGTACTCACGTTCACCTCTACTCACAAATTTATGATTAACTAGCTGTCACCCGCCCGCTCCGCTGGACATTTTATAGAATTGTATTTTGAGATCTAGGCTTGAAATTCAATTGGAGTATTATTTTGACTTGCACAGATTCCAAATTCTATCGGATTGGCCTGTACCTTTTATCCATGTCATCATTCTAGCGAATATCCATTGTAACTTTCAATGTGCAATCACTATAACATTCCCGTGGCTTTCTCCAAAAATAAATAATAATTTTTGGATATACGATTTTAATTTTTGATTTTACGAAATCTCTTAAAATGAGTAGCCAAATTTCTTTTCTACATCTCAAGTGTTTAGAAAATGTATTCATTTTAATCTGTTACATTCCCGTGATCCCGTAATAAGAACAATTCATCGGTTATGTGATCAGCAAAAATAAAATGTATGCAAAATACTCAGTCCGTTGACTATATAGCTACATGTAAAGTTAAATTTTAGAAATCTTACAATGACTTTTCCGCCGCTGCCAAAGAGACGATTGTTGTAAGAAAATATAATATAGAATAAAATATTCCAACAAAACTTCGAGCCCATAGAAATTATTGTTTTGAAAAGAGAGATTTTTATTGTTAACGCCTCCGCAGTCCCTTTTGGGGTTGGAATTTGATAAAATTCATTCTTAGCTGAACTTGACATGATACACGAAGACTTCCACCAAATTTGAAGTCTGTCGAAGTTACAGTTTGGAAATAAAAATTTTAGATTTTAACACCCACGGCCGCAATTCCCCTTTCGGAAATAAACTTTATTGAAATCCATTTTGAGATGATCTTTCCAGGAGAAATAAAAGATTTCTACCAAATTTAGAGTTTTCATAAGCTATATTTTGGAAATGAACATTTTTTATTGTCAACACCCACTCCCGCGATCCTTATTGGAGGTGATTCGTTGTAAAATCCGTTGTTAGATCATTTCTATATCACATATAGAAGATTCCTACTAAATTTGAAGTCAATAGGAGCTATAGCTTGGAAATTAAAAATTTTCATTGTTAATACCCACCCCCACAACCCTCTATGGGGTGTAATGTCGTAAAATTCGTTCATAGATTATTTCTACATCTCTTACAGAAGATTTCTACCTAATTTGGAGTCGATAAGAGCTATAGTTTAAAAATGGGAATTTTTCATTATTAACGCCCCCGCAACCCCCCTTGTGGGTGGAATTTTGTTAAATCCGTTCTTAGCTGACCTCTACTCGGTAAAAAGAATATTCCCACCAAATTTCAAGTCTCTAGGTCTTATGGCTCCAGAGATATCGTGATGAGTGACTATATAGGTGGAAATCTCATATATATATATATATATATATATATATATATATATATATATATAGATTGATAATGTTGTAACTGATTAAAGTTCTACCTGAAAGCAAGTGTAATATTGAGTAAAGTTGAATCGGAGTAAAGATTTAACTGAATAAAGTTGTGACTGAATGAATATGATTTTGAATAAAAATGTTATTGAGTGCAGATGTCGTTGATGGCTGTGAGTAAAGATTTTATAAGTAGACCTGTAACACAGCCATAAAGCCAGTTGCTTTTTATGAAAAAAATTATACCCCTTTTCGCCCAATTTTCCATTCGAGAGGCTTTTAAACGAAGAGTATCAAAAATTGCTTTTGGAAAACCAAAAGCGCTATCAAGTTTATTAATGTATCTGTTAAGTGTATCTTTGGAAGGCAAAGGTAATATTTCACGTTGACGTAGTTTTTCATAAACCGAAGGACCTTTAATTCTTATCATAAGGCATTCGTATACCCACTCTATAGTATACTGGCGTTGCTTTGCATTTTTGGCCTTAGCAGCTTGAAAGCAAGCACGAACAGCTTGTTTTTGAGCTTCTGGCAAGTCAGCTATTTCTTCTTCAATAATATTTTCTTTGGTCATAGCACAGCGATAAGTCTTCTAATTCTTCTTTTAACTTCTGGCTCTGTATTTCAATTAATGTTACAAATTTCGTTTTATTTTAAAAACTTTTCTTACCTTCTGCTGCAAACGATGTACACGCTTTTGCTTTGAATTTAACTTTCGTTTAATCGTGATAAAACGATTATTTAAATCATTTTTTCTCTTTATAGACACTTGGAGTAATCTTTTTCGTAATTTACGACAAGCAAGACACCTATTTATTTTCCGATATCTTTTATACTTATCAGGTGATTTTAAAATGCCATCACAGGTAGCTGAGCATCTGCCGAAAACCATAAAAAATTAATCGAATACGCATAAAGAATATTAAAATCAAAAAATGCTACTTTTCGAGTAGTAGCTCTGAATAAAAATTTGGAGTGCTTTACAATAATTTCATGCTATATTCAAAAAAGGGCAGAATTTACGATTCATTCTATACTTTACAAACAAATGTAGATAAAAACCTTCTATTGTTAACTCCAGCACCGGTACAAAACTGAGATTTTTCTATATCTTGTAGCATTTTCCAAAAATTTTTTGTTGATGTTAATGGATTATCTAAATTTACAGAGACTCCAGTTTTAATAACAGTTATCTACAAAGTACGATAATATTTATAGATGAAATATTTAATAGGACAAAGTATATGCACAAAATTATTTTTTATATACCTGAAGTGTTAAATCCCGACTAATCTTAATTTCTAATTTTACCTGCTTTAAAATAATATCGACATAATACAGAATTAATACTTTTTGTGGTTCTAATTGTTTTGGCCAACACCAATTTTGAAGTACACCTCGGTCTTCAAGTGCTTGTACTATGGCAGATAATGAAAAAGTTTCAGGATTGTCAATAGTAGGTGCCTGAAAAATATTTTCATCAGAGCTGGTTTGTCCTGCGAGTTCTGCAGCCTCGATACAATTTGGATCTGCAGTTATTCCGTCAATAATTCTTGAACTAGAAATCTGTTCGCTAGACTCGGACAAATTGTTGCTTACATCATTTTTTTCATACTGTTGATCTTCAGCTATAGTAATATCTTCTTCGTCTACAATTATCTGCTCCGAGTTTACATGCATAGAAATATTAGTATTTTCCGAGCATTGTAACATACTAACGTCAGTAGTATTATTTACTATCACTGGAATCGCACCTACTTTTAAATCAAATCTGGCTTTTGATAAGTCGTAAATATCACCATTAGGCAAAATTATTCTGTCAAATTTTTTATGAATATCTTCCTCTTTAAAATGCAATTCATAAAAGAAGTTTTTAGGAAGAAGTTGCTGTGACAATGCCAAATTCCATTTTTGCAACATGCTCGGACACTAATTTCAAACAGAAAAAACATTTACTTACATATTAATTATTTATTAATATTATGTTGATTTGAAAACATGTACATTAATGCTTCGACCTAAAGAATTAATTTTTCTAAATGTTTTGTTTTTTTTTTTCCAAAGTTAAGTTTTTTATTAGTGTAAATGAATGGATAGAATTTTTCAAAGTCCAAAGATGAAAATGTATAGTATACAGGTGATTCTCTGTAAGGACGTCTTAAATCTGTACAAAATTATCCGACCAAATTATTTTTGATTTTATTAGAAAAAAAATAACAAGGGCTATAAAACTATCAGCTTAATTATGTAGTATCGGATTTTATTGGATAGGATACTAAATGTTTATTAAAGATGTTATTATTAAGGTATCACGGGGCGGTTAATTTAAAGTGAGTATTTATTAGAAAAATTGACAGAGTTAAAAGACAGAGGTCTGTCGTACATCGAAGTTAAGTAGGAACTCCCTGCTTGAGTCCCATACAATTAGACCTTTACTTACTACCTGGGTTTCTCACCCCCGCATCAGTCATACTTCGTTCTTACACTCTCGGTACTTATAATGTACATTTTTGCCACGAGACAAATCTATACTTACGTTCCCACGCATACGAATATTTTCTAAACTATCTTAACTAAACATCTGTTATTTGGGAATTTTTCTTAATCCCTTTATTTACAACCTTTTCGAAAAAATACTTACTGCTAAGTACAAAGGTGCAATAAAACAATAAAATAGAGAAACTTAAATCTAAAAATGACCATTCCACAATTATAATAAATAAACAGCCGAATTAATTTTTGCTTTTTCGATATTTGTGTGTCTTTTGCCATATAACATAACAGGGGACTGTTTTTTTTTTATCAAATTGAGAAAAATCAAGCAAACTATTTCAATGCATTCAACTTTTCAAGTTCTCAATGAATGTTTACATTAATTAGAATAATATTTAGACTTATGGATCGAATTTTATAAATAAATTATAAATAAAAATAGTTGCCAGGAGACTGAGTTCTGAAGTGGCCCAGACACATATTTCCAGCACAGACGGTGCTTTAACACTAAATAAATTGGCGATAAAGCACTATCAGCCCTATGGTTGTTAGGGCTGATAGTGCTTAAGGCTAGTTAGATCCTTATAAACCTTAAAAAAGGTAAAACAATACGTTGGATTTTTTTTTGGCTTTGAACTTTTGGCAGGGGACTGATCTTAAAATGCCTGGGACAAACTTTGGTTTAATGAATTTAATGAAACAAATTAACTTTCGGTACTTTTTATTGAAGATTGTTAGTTAACTAATTGAGTTAATAAACATTAAGGACCAAATTATATATTATTGACGAATAACTTAAAATTTAATCTTAAAGTTCTAATTTTGGGACTGGGACAGCCCAAGGGACTGACATTTCGGTGGTTTACGAATTTATAACAAAAAACCCAAAGTTTATTCCATTTCAGTTTTCACTGCTCCAAATAGAAATGTTTTTTTTTTTACTTTCATAATAAATTTTTTTTAGTAACAAAATAACAATTTTTCTAATAAAAAAATGCCTGGGACAGCAAAAAACATCCTTACAGAGAATCACCCATATAAAATTAATAATCCACAAACTTTACCTTATTTCTAGACTCTATTGTTTTTAAACACAGACTTCAAAATTCTTCCTTTTCATTACGTTTGGTATTTATAATAATAAAAAAAAAATAAACATTATAAATTAAACATTTCACTCCTACTAACAACATATCGTTTATATACTGTTATTTGTCACTAACAGTGATCATTGTTAAAAAAATATACATTAATTATTATTTTAAACCATTACATAAAATAAAAATTAAATTTTTATTATTATTCAATCACAATTATTAATTTTGAAAATGGAAATAATTTAAAACTATAGGTTATCTTACCTTTGGTACTTGAAATAAAGCCGTTGGACGATTATTTTGCTTCAACTTCATTTTTCATTCTGCTATACTGCCACTCATACAATTTTTAACTGCACATTTCTTCACCATTTTTCAAAATTATCGATATAATTACTTTAAAAATTTTTAAAATATTAAGTATAGCCAAAAAACATGAATGTACACATGCATTTGTGTTTACATGCGTTGTAGCTAAGGTGCTGTCTTTAATGACGTCACAGAGATCGAGTTGATAGTGGCGCTACTCTGGTGGTGAGAGTAGGCATCAGTAATTTGCTGCCATTTTTGAGGACACATTTTTACCAAACCCCCTATCTCGATCGTTCTCCTTCTATCTAAGCTCCGTGGTCAGTAGTGTGAGATTTCCACTCACTAAAAAAAACCCATCCTCTCCATTTCCCCCGCAAGTTTATAGGGGGAACCTGGGCTGGAACCGCGTTAGCATTACTTCAACCCAGTTCATGTTGCGTCAGACGACGTCCACTCCTGTTTCACTGCTCTCTCTTGGATATCTTTTCCTTAAGAATGCGCTGTGCGTAGGATGCAATATCATTTCACGTTTTTTCTTGTTCTATCATTAGATTCACTAGACTCGTAGGGCTGAGCGCTTTGCCTATAATTTCCTCACTGTTAGCTCTGTGGTTTCTCCAAAGTTCACACTCAAAGAATGTGTGTTCGGCGTCATCGGTTTTGTCTGGGCAGTACTTGCACATCGGAGTGTTATAAAGGCCCAGTTTATATAGGTATGCGTTAAATAGGCCGTGGCCTATCAACAGTTGAATCAAGAAGAAATCCGTCTTACCATGACTTCAGTCGATCCAGGTCTTGATGTTCGGGATCAAACGCGCTGTCCATCTGCCCTTGTCGGTGGTCTTTCTGTCTTTCCATTCTTCTAGCGTTTCCAGTTCCACTCTCGCTCGCGCCTCATTTATGTTATTATTAGCGGTCTTGAGGACGTAGAGTTTTATCCTTTCGAATGCTAGTAGGTCAATAGGCATAGCCCCTGCTATAATTAGTAAAGCAGCTTCGGAGACCGTTCGATGGGCGCAGGTCACTTTGAGGGCTCTACGCTGTTGGACTGCTGTTATTTTACGCCGATAGGTCTTTTGTTTAAGGATATCAACCCATATTTCTGTTCCATGGAGCAGGGTCGAGTGGACAACTTCCAGAATAACTCTTCTCTTTTTAGTTCGTGGGCCCACCGTGTTGGTCATGATTCTCGATAAACTGGACACCGTCTTGCTGGCTTTAGTGCATGCACTTTCAAAGTGTTCTCGAAAGGAGAGTTTTTTATCTATCACCACTCCCAGGTAGCGTAGCGCTCTTGTTAATGTCAGTGTTGTCTCGCCAATATCCTCGTTGAACGGTTTTGGAAACCATTTTTGGCGTGCAGCACCATCATCATTCAATCGAAAGATATCGCAATTAAATTTTTAAAGCTTTTCGCGCTCGAAAAAGTACACGAGTTGTGTTTTACAGCTCGAAGAACTTAAAACGGTTCCATGATAAATGATCCCGTGACAATATATCCCCCCGACATTATATCCCCGATCTTGTCACTGACCTGTCCACACGACAAATTTAACTACAAATTAATATTTGTTATTTGCCGTAAGATGGACGGTGGCGTTTGCTCAAGTGAGGTTTAATAGGTGACTGAATAGTAGTTACGGACAGTGTCTCGGATAGCTTAACTGGTAGAGCCTTTGGCGTGTAACCGAACGATCCAGGTTCGAATCCCGGTCCGGGCTGTCCGAATCATATTTTTTCAGTTACCAAAAAATTCCTACTGAGCAAAAAAAGGTCCCCCCCCCTCTTCCCCCTATATCCTTTATTCACCTAATTCCCAAATTTGTTGCGGACATTATGACGCTGACACAGCATCGCGGGATGTAATGTCCTGAGGATCAAATGTCCTGGGATCAATTATCATGTAACCCTTAAAACTTTGGAATAGACAATTTCTCGAGCGTTTTGAACTCGTAAATAGTAGAAAGTTCTACGGATGGCCTGCAGGTTCAACAGTTTTCCAGATTTTTTTTTCTTGATAAAAAATGAAATACTTTTAAATAATGTACACAATTAAAATTTCAAAAATCGCTTGACCTTGACAAGTTGAGAGTGATGCATAATCTCTAACACCTCGCATTTTGAGCGTGCAATTCTGTACTAAAAATTCAATGACCTACTCGGCTGCCCAATTTTAAAACACAGTAACTGCAAAATTTTTATACCTAATTTTTTTTAATATTGCTGCATTTTTTATAACTTTTAGACCTTAATTTCAAGTATTTTTTCTTCAAAATATTTATATTCATGTATTTTCTATTTATAAATCAAATTTTTCATCAATTTAGCAGGCAAACCCGGGTCGAAAAATTAAAACTGATTTTAAGCTAAATGATCTGCATTTGAACTTATTGATCTGTATTTGAACTTTAAAAAAACATTTTTATCGGTATTTGGTCGACTATTAAAATTATTTCTGATCTTTTTTAAGTCTAAATTATCTTTAAGTAAAATAATTGAGCAGCTATGAATATTTTATGCTGTTTCTAATCTAATAAGACTAAAAAGTTTCAAAAGTTTGATCGGTTTTTAGTCTAATTAATTTGTAGATGGACTTTATGTATTGTTTTCAAATTCAATCTGAAATCTTATACTGTTTGTGATCTACAATTTTCACCCTAAATTTTCGAAAGCCAAAAGTCGACTAAGATAGCGACTTATAATTTTTTTAACTCAAAAGTATCTCATTAAAAATTATAAGTCGCATTTATTTGAAAAAATAAATTAATTTAAAATATATTCATGCGCTCTCTTGTTTTATGAACTGAACGTCGATTATAACCTTACATCTGTCCTATTTATTTGTCTCATAGCTTAGCATTTCATGGATTATAAAAGTTTTGTAACTGCGATTATTAGTTGCCAGTGATAACTAATAAATTTGTATTAACATACGTATATAAAATAGTTCTCATCGTTTGATTATGAATCGAAATCTAGAGTTTTCTAATTATCGATATTAAACACAATACATCGACAAGATTAAAATGCTGACAAGATGACAAGATTAATATTAAATTTTATACTTTCACGCATCATTTAATGAGCGGTATTCACTATTTGGTAGTGAAAAGAATACCGTTTGGTATACATTCCACTACGAAATAGTGAATGGTCACTATTTCAGTTTCAGAGAATGAAAAGCCGTGCCCTGTAGAGGATCTTCGAGGACATAAATAAAATAATAATAAATAAATATATTACTATTATTATTATTATTAATAATATTATTATTATCAAATCCGTAAAAGGTCGGTTTTTGATCTACAGACGATGAAAAACCGACTAAAAATTATGGAACGTTTTGGTCTATTTTTGACCTTGATGCGATCAAAACCAGCTAAATGATTGTGACAAAAAAAGTCTGATTTTGGTCTTGAAACAATAGAAAAAAATTTTATTACAACATTAAAAATGATCTGAAATCGGTCTGAATTGAGAATAGTACGGGCAAAAACAGATTAAATTCTTATATAAAATATATACACATAATAAAATTAAATTGAATAAAAAATATTAAAAATTTTCATTATTCATAAAACAGATTAAATTTTTTGACCCAGGAACTTTTTTGTAATAAGAAAAATTAAAAAAAATCTTTAAATTTTAGTTACCGTGTTTTGAAATTGGGCAGCCGTACTTTTTCTGCCACCACTAAGATACATCAAAAGTTATTAAGTTAGTTTATAAAATAAAAAGGGAAGATAATGAACATATAAATAGACATTGCGAAACGTATATCATCAGTAATAAATAATGATATTTAAAAAAAATACAATGCTTCAAGAAAAAACGAATTATTTTTCGAATTATTTTTTACTTAAAAAAAAATTTTCAAGCTCCTTAAAATATGCATTATACTTTAATAACTGATTTAATCATTTTTATAGCATAAATTTTTTTACCTTTGCATAGCGAAGCAATCAATTACAAAAGCAATTTATTAACGTTATCACATAACGTTATCGTGCTTTTCTATTTAAGAATACATTTAAAGTAATTTTATAAAGCGTACAATAAAATAACTGTTCAAATCTTAATTATAGCGGAATGATCATTTTTATTTTTTCTACATTTATTGTTTAAAAGTTGTTATAAAAGCATCAAGCCAAGACTTATTTTTGTTAAAAAAAAAATTTTTACAATGAAATTAGCATTAAAGATCTTATTTAATTTCCAATTGTCAATTTTTCAATTAATAGGATTTGCTCCATTCAAAATTAAAATACTAGAAAAAAATAACATTACTTTCAAATGCACTCAAATTTATAAATGCTACAATTTAATATTGATACTATTCTTAATCACGATAAATATTTATATTTTACCTCATGTTTTCGTAAACCTCTACAATGAAAAGGAAACAATTCTTTCACGACTTTTGGGATTGGTGTTAAGCTATTCGTTAACAGCAGTAATAATCATTATATGCCTTCTATACGTCTTCCAACAACGAAAATTCATCAAAATAATCAATCAATTTATCGAAGTTGATTTGACATTAAATAAACTGAAAAATATTTACAAGCTAGATGATCAATCCACGAAATTTATGTTTATAACTATTTTTAATCTATTTTTTTGTTCGAGTGTAATTATTTGTGAAATTTTTTTGAATGAACAGTTTCATGTATCATTTTTCTTGTATCTTTATCAATTCTTAGTCTCTTCTTTTTATGTCATTCAATATGCTATTCTCTTGACAATAATTGAAAAAAAGTTCAAAAGTATAAACGGTACATTTTTGAAATTAGAAGACTCCATTGCTGCACAACATCCAATTGAAAACATTCGAAAATATATTATATATAAAATGTGTATAGTTGAGATCATTGTCTTGAAGCGTTCACATACGAAACTATTCAGCTTGTGTTCAGAGATTGCTAACTTTTACAGTTTCGGAATGTTGTTTATAATCCCTTTTATAATCATATCTATGATAATAAATATTTATGAACTGTTAATACCCATTATAACATTTTATGTATTTCCGAATTTGATGTTACGACGTGTCAATCAATTTTCATGGATGGCGATGGTATTGTTTCCAACATTAATGGTTGCGATGGTTGCGTCTCAAATTGAAGACCAGGTTAGAAATTTTACTAAGATAACATACTAATAAATCATATTTTTTTTCTCAAATATTTTTTTCTAATATTGCTTATTAAAAAACATTTCTGCTCCCTTACTATTCTTAATAATCATCTCTTGCAAATTAAGGAAGAAATTTTTTTGGAATAATGGAAAATGTTGTAAGAAGAAACAAAATTGTTGAAGATTTTCAATAAATTAATTTCTTGTCACAACAATGCCCATTTTTTTTAAAAGAAAATTTTTCTTTTAGTGTACCAATATAGAAATTTATGCCATAAGGCCGTGAAGTGGCGATTTTCTGACAGTGACGATATTTCGATATGAACTTAAGGTTTGTGGTGGGAAGGTTCAAAACGAGCGCAATTTTAACGTCCGAGGCAAAGTCAAAGACGGAAATTTACGCTCGTTTTCGTTTTGAGGTCCTAGGAATCCGCCCTGACTATTCCCGTGATGGTGTCTGTATATGTGTGTGTGTGTTTTTTTTTAACTTCCCGCTAAGAAAATTGAAAATTTTCAAAAATCGGGAAGTTATTGTTTTCACCCCGTTTTTCGAAAATCGAGTTTTCATCAGTTCTCGACGTTTTGAGGTCCTAGGAAGCTTTCCTGACTCTTTCCGCGGTGACGTCACCGTGTCTGTATGTATGTGTGTGTGTGTGTATGTGTGTGTGTACTGGCAACATATATTTTAATGATTGATAATTTAGCGTTGAAAAATAATATGTAATATCAATTTTAGTAATGACCCCGAAAAAATTTTTCAATATCGCCATATCAGACTATGTGTGAAAACAAAAAAATTTCAACTTCCCGCTAAGAAAATAGAAAATTTTCAAAAATCGGGAAGTTATTGTTTTCACCCCGTTTTTCGAAAATCGAGTTTTCATCAGATCTCGACGTTTTGAGGTCCTAGGGAGCTTCCTTGACTATTTCCGCGATGGTGTCTGTATGTCTGTATGTATGT